ATCGGTAAGTTTGCCGATGCATAATAACGTCTTGTTCCCCGTCGGGCCTCGTAGGGCGCACGCAGCTAAACGGTACCCGTCATGCATTCGTAAGTTAAGCCCCGCCTACTCTGCATGCGGTAACGGCTACGATCGACAAACCAGGTAGACGTGCAGCCACGAAAATTATTGATCAGGGGAATTGTGGCGCCTACTTAAACACCTCGGATGCTAATCCACAAGTGCGCGGGGTCGCGCAGTATACTACCCAAGTTCTAGTCTGTTACTACCCGTTTTCGTTCTCTAACTGCATTCGCAAAGTCATCCGTTTTGCTTCTTTGAACCTCAAATTGCTGGAAAGCAAGGCGCGTCATCCTTACGGGTAATCATTTCAGCATGGAGAGTGCAGATCTGGAACGAACTTATTCCCGGGAACAACAAGGCTTAGGGCCGGGTCATGAGGCCATTACCTCACCAGTCGCTCTTGTCCGCAGTTTTACTTCGAAGAGTCAGAGAAGTACGACGAGTCGACAGAGTTCAAGAAATCGCTGTACGCATAACTTCGTCTTACTGCGATGTTGGGGGTGTGGGTTACTAACGGGTCAACATAGCCGGTGCTATAGAGAGCTCGCGTGCTGCGCGACTGAGGGAACTTGAGAAAGATGCTGGCACATCTGACGATACGGAGAAGGAGGATGCGATTGAGAAAGTTGCGTCGAGAACACCTTCAACGCTGAGCTCGCATGGACGGTCGAATTCACCGTCGCCGGCGTCGAGTGTCCACGATGAGCACACGAGTGGGAGACGGGTTATCCGCTTTGAAGATGGAGACCCTGAGAATCCTAACAATTGGGGGCGTGTGAGTTGAACAATGGAAAATTGATTCGAAGAAGGACTAATAAGTATTCCAGTGGAAGAAGATCTACGCCCTCGTCGTTGCTATCATGAGTGGTAAGCCACCCTAATCCTTCTTTTGACAACTCAGCTGAACCAGACAAAGTGATGAACAGCACCATGACCTCCAGCCTAGCAGCCGGAGCCACGGCTCCAATATCTCGCCATTTCAACCAAACCAACGAATATGCGCTCATCCTCCCCACATCCATGTATCTAGTTGGCTACGCATGCGGCCCCATGCTCTGGGGCCCTCTCTCAGAATCCTACGGCCGCAAAGGAACCATGGTGATATCCTTTGCCTTTTTCACAATATTCTCCATCGCTTCGGCGCTCTCACCAAACTTCGCTTCGCTCGTCATCTTCAGGTTGTTGGTGGGTGTGGGAGGGAGTTGCGCGATCAGTGTTGTTGGGGGGATCTGCGCGGATATCTGTCATAATCCTAAGTATCGGGGAAGGAGTATGGCGATTTTCATGGTATGTGGCTCCTAATCCCTTCCTCATAACGAACTCTAGCAGAAGGAAAGGAGAACTAATCAAGGTATAACAGGCCGCAACAACATTCGGACCCATTCTCGGACCCCCGATATCAGGCTTCATCAGCGTGATATCCTGGAGCTGGGCCTTTTGGATCGGGGTCATACTTGCCGGAGCAACATGGCCGCTGTTCTACTTCTTCGACGAAACATACGGTCCCACGATCCTAAAGCGGCGCGCGAAGCGACTACGCAAGGAAACGGGTAACGAGAATATCATTGCGCCACTTGAACTGGAGAAGACGGACTTGAACCACATCGTCACCGTCATTCTGACCAGACCACTACGAATGATCTGCTTTGAACCTCTTGTGCTGTTCACGTGCTTGTATCTAAGTTACGCCTGTAAGTCAAGCCTTCCCCCACCATTCCTGCACAAAGCCATCTCCTTACTAACCCCCACCCCCAAAGACGCCATATTCTACATATTCCTCCAGTCCTACCCCATAATCTTCACCGGCATCTACCACTTCAACGCTGGCGAAACAGGTCTCGCCTTCCTCCCCATCGGCGTCGGCGCCCTCATCTCCGCTGGCATTTATTTATCGTGGGACTGGTATTTGGCCCGCGCCCAACGCCTCAACCGCCCTTGGTCGCGCAACGAAGAAATGCGGAGGCTGCCCCTTGCTTGCATCGCTGGCCCGTTCTTCGTTATCAGCGCGTTCTGGCTGGGCTGGACGAGTAGAGAGAGCATCCATTGGATTGTGCCCACGCTCGCGGGTATACTGTTTGGAATGGGGTATCTGTGTCTCTTCATGGCTTTACTCAACTATCTAGTCGATGCATACGAAGTCTTCGCCGCGAGTGCTATGGCGGCAGCGAGTTTATCGCGGTCGTCATTTGGGGCTGTGTTGCCTTTTGCAGCGAAACCGATGTATAGGACTATGGGCGTGGCTTGGGCGACTAGTCTACTGGGGTTCTTCAGTCTGGCGCTGTGTGTTGTGCCGTTTGTGTTTGTGAGGTGGGGTGGTAGGATGAGAGATCGAAGTCAGTTCTGTCAGTATTTGAGGAGGAAGAAGAGGGAGGAGGAGGAGGAAGCGGAGAAGGAGAGGGAAGGTTTGAGGGAGAAGAGGGTTATGGTACAGCCTAATGAGTTTAAGGGGAAAGAGGATGTGTAGGGTATGATTAGACCGTACTGCATGTCCATGCAAAGCTAAACTCAAAGATCATCCAACATGTACCCCCTCCTCTTCTCAGGCTGAGCCTTGATAACCCAGCTATGGAGTACAATCTCATGCCACTGCACCCTCTCCGCGTTCTGCATACGAAACACCGGCTCCCTCTCGACCACGAATTCTTTGCCTTTTCTAGGCCCAATGCGCGGTAGGAAGAAGCGAAAAGAGACCCAATACAGAATACAGCATGTCAGCATTATCCACGACAACAAACCCGTCGCGTACCAAGGAAGCCCGGGAATGATGTCGTGAACGTCGAGATCTGAGTATTGAAACGGTGGTATCCAGACTGCGACTAAGGGAAAGCCGCCCGCGATAGCGTAGACCAGAGCAGCGGTAACACTCAGCCAGGTTGGGAGGGGCGATTTGAGAGACCACTTCGTGAAGAAGCGGAGATACAACATGCCGACTGCCATGATGAACGTTGGTATGATATCGATGAGGTACACGTACAGGTTTGCAAGAATCCTGTACGCAGACGAGGGCTTCATGGGCCAGGTGACTAGTATGAGAAACACGGCGCACACCCAGTGGAGAAATAATGCGCCTAGCGGAGTGGGCTCGGACTGGCTGTAATGGTGTTTCTCTCGGTATTTGCGAAAGAGAATGCGGTTCTCACCGAAGAACTTGGCGAACGGTAGGACGCCTTCTTTCGCTATTTCTTGTTTTGCGCGGGCAAGCGTGAAGGTCATGCCGATAACGTTGCCGAAACTGTTTATGGTGGTGAAGATAGCGAGGATTGCAGACGCGTGTTTGGGGCCGATGACATTGTTGAGGAAAGCCAGTGCTACATCAGTTGAGGCAAGCTGTTGCTCTTTGCTGACCACGATCATCTGGGGGTGTCAGCGCAGGCCTGGAAGATGACCAGATTGGCAAGAGGAGCAACCTACGTAGCTGACATTGACCAGCATATATAAGACGCAGATCATACCGAGAGCGATTATGATACCTTTTGGGAAGTTCTTGCGCGGTCTGTGAATCTCGCAGAGTATCTGGGATGCGTAAGTGACAACTCGATAGCATGTTGGGGTTATGAGAGGGATCAGAACTCACGTAGTTGGCTTGGTTGTACCCGCCATAGGCATAAAAGACCGCTAGCATGCCTTGCGTATAGCTGTCGGCGTTTCCGTGTGTCCGCGCAAACGAATTCTTGTATTCCATATTGGCTGTCGCGTGATTCGTATGCGCGACACCGGCCAATACGCATATCGCCATGATGGGGAACACGCAGAGAATGGCAATCTTGACGACGACGATGACGTTGTTGAGAATGATGCCTCCACGTCGAGTGAACGCGTGCAAGAAGCAGGGAAGCGTTACTGCCATTATCGCAAGACATCGTGCCGCGGCATCCTTGGTTGCACCTCGATCGGTTCCTGGAGAGCCTATTATGTCGTCGCCGAAAGTCAATGCGTTCGCTGCGCTCGAAGCAATGATCACGTAGTTGACTGCGTAGAAGGAGAAAACGAAGAACTTTGGTTGCTTAATGAGGTAGTTCACCTAGTCGCGGTCAGTCGTGTATCAGTGGCAGGCTTGCAGTTCTGCACTCACGTAGTTCATGTCTCCACCATTGCGTACAACCGGCACTCTTTCGTCATCGATCGAATGTCGAGGTGTAGTCAAGCCGAACTCGATGTACAATATAGAGCCCGCGATGGCTGCAAGTCCGCCAAAAGCCCAAAAGCAAAGCGTGATCCCCGGACTCTCGGTGGCCTGCATAACGGTCCATGGTGTTCGGAATATGCCGGTACCGATGACTTGTTGGAGTATGAAGGCCACTACTGAGAAGAGACCTAGAGGGTTCGGCGTGCTTTTCGTAGCGACAACATCTTTGTCGTTCAAAGCCTCGAGGTATGCGCGGTCTTCTTCGTCTAAGCACAGGCTGCGATCTCCCGATTGGACGCTACATGATTCGTCCATCGTTCGGTACTGAGCATCGATTTGGAGCTGGTGAAGCTCAGGAATCTGGTTGGATAAGTAGTACCTAGCTACAGTAGTGACTGTCCAGCAAGAAGCCGGTAATGGTATCTGAATGACTTATCCCTTGAGTTTCATGCATTAGTTATCACCCGGCAGAAGAGCTAGTTTTCGAAGCCCTTGCTCAGAGTTTTGCTCTTTCCGTCGACTTTCAAAGCCTTCGCACCGCGAAGCTGCGACTCCTTACTTAACGATACTTGCCATGTGAATAGTAGCCACTAACACGAGGTCGCTTCGAAATTCAATAGAAAGCCACTTTGCGTAGGAGTGCAAGGCTAAATCCGAAAGTGAACAAAGCATCGCTTGCCACAGTTGAAGAGATGCAGGGGATGCGCGAGGAAGGGATGCGCGTGTGCCAGATAACGGCAGACAGCTCCTTAGGTTCCCGTCGTCGGTCCCTAAGCCTGCATCTTCTCAAAGCATTGCAACTGTCGGTAACATGCCGTGGGATTTCGGTGTACTCAGCTTTGTTTGCGGTGCTATCAAATTATCGTGGATCATATACGAGAAGGGGTTCACGGAGGAGAAGTCGCTGCGTTTGTCCTCCCACATGCCACCCCACCCACGTTCCGCGCTAACCGTATTGTCTTAGCGCGACGGTATCTTGAGTTTGGCGACGCGTTGTTCCGGCTGCACTGGAGTCTCAACACCATCGAATCCATCGTCAGAACCGCGAACACCGGCTTAGAAAACGAAAGGCTCGAGAGTTATGGACCTGAACTATATGATACCACGGCGCTGATCGATATCGTGGGCAACTTCCGCTTGACGCTGGAACAGTGTCAGCAGTTGCTCAATGACGTCAGCAAATTTCGTACTGGCAAAGACGGCTTCATCACCAACATCATCTACAACCTGAATACGGATGCGCAGGTCAGAGATTTGACTGAACGTTTGAAATATCACAGCGTCAAGATTGGTCTCGTTCTCGACGCGTTCAACATTCATGTCCAAACACAGCTGCGGGATCTCCACAATGAACAACACCAAGACCTGGCGGAGCGAATTCAGGAGCTGAAGCACCTACTTGTTGCTAGTCGCGATTCAAGCACCGACGCGTATCAGCCGGTGATCAAGCGAGATATAGAAGTCCCTGTCGAACTTGCCGAGCGCTTCACAGCGGAGTTACAGCAACGTTCTTTATTGTATACGTTTGACTGGGAGAAAACATCTGACGGACTGCAAGTATCAGTCAGAGAAGGCCTAGAAGCCTTTTGCAATCATTTCAATGGCGTTCGTCCGGATGGAGATGCGACATCATATCTTCGCCTTCTCAAAAGCATATGGCTAATGGACAAGATTAGGGAAGGACACGATTGGTCAAGTATCCAAAGCTCAAATCCAGGCGGTCTCTATGATAGGTGCATCCGGGAAATGGATCGACGACTTCGCATAGAGTGCGCTCGAATCGCTAGCAGTCCAATCGCGCGCCCCCGACTATCTACTATTATGCGGTCTCCCGAGGAAATGCTTGCTATCTGGCCGAGACCTATCTCCATCAACGATAACGTGCACGAAACGAATCTTGGGGTTCTTCTGGATATTTCGCTTGTCTCCGGTACGCAGACACATACCTTTCGCGTAGTGCGTAACATGGATGGGACGTTGGGAATGGAAGATACCACCACGACTATAACATCATGCACTGGCGGCAGTTCCAGGGACAGAGTAACACAAAGACTCAACCTTGACCCAAGGAAGGTTTTCCTGGTCCCTGTGTATGCAATACCGAAAGTCTCAGGCTCGCAAGATGCCTCTTGTAGCGTAAAGCTGCAGAGCTCGCCTGATGACACAAATGGCCTGACTCCAGAGTTTCGCTCATGTACCGACTTGTTCAGATTGCAACACCTCATTACGGGCTACAGATGCGTACATCAAAGGTGGGTAGCTATTAGCCTACAAAACTTGTCGCGCAAGCAGCACTTCAACTATATGCCTGTATGAGACTGACACGTGTGAAGGAGAACTGTAATAGTCACATCGCTCCTGAAAGGGCAGGGCTTTCCAACGAACGGTGGCGCATCCGAAGGTAGACCAAGCAAGACCACCGACGTATTGACTGAGATCGGAAACATACAGTTGTGGCAGAAAGCTTCTTTCGAAAAGAGATCCGCGTCCCAACACCAATACAGCAGGTCGTCAGAAGACCTGTTAAATTCTTCAGAAACTGTATCGGGTGCATGGAGTCCTGAGCCACTTAGCGAACGGACTTTCATCTCGACGTCGAGCATCATGAGCAACATCTCCAGCGCTCATTCACAGGAAATATCCCTGGGCTCTGCAGTCAGGGCAGTACAATTGACACAACCAGAGCCACCGTTACTTGTGGTGTTTCTCAAGCAGCCAGATACAGGGCAGTTATCTTTTCTAGTCATTGAGCTCGACGAACGTACGAAGATCGAGCCAAAAAGCTGCGACTGTCGAAGCACCAAAGCCAGCTGTACAGTCAGTGTGCTAGAGCGATCTGGTACACCACTGCTAGCACGTCGTTTCTATGCGAAGAAGGGGCTCAACAGCTGGAATCTGGCGGCTGTCGGTGCACATTGGTCGTCATCTGACACGGGTGCGGTATGTGTGCGCGACATGTACTGGCTCCGGTTCGAGTTCTCGAACGACGCTGAGCGCAAGAAATTTCATCAGAATGTCACTGATCTCGTTCGTATCTTCTCTGCAAGGATGAAAGACTACCAGAGAGACTTAAGATCTGTCCGAGGAGCTCACATCATCTCACGACCAGGCTGAGAATGGTCGGCATTGCTCACTTCCTTCATCTATCGTATTTGTCAATTTTTAGTCTAATGTTAATAACGTTCCTTCGTCTCAATATCATGTAGTAGCAGTCTGTGGTGATGTTCGCTCACTTCCGATGATCTTGCTCAGCCCTCGTACTAGTTTGAGTCAAGAAAGCTGTTATAAGAGACCATGTTGCTAGATTATGTCTACGCTGCACCTACAAGTGCATGCAACATACAAGAGAGACACACGAAGTTTACCTCAGTCATATGGATGTCTCGGAAGATACAACTTCCTCAATGCGAACAATCTAGCGAATGCGAATTTAGGCTGAGAATCGCACCTGACGCCCGGTGCTAGCGAATGCGACATGCTTGGCCTGCGCCACCGACCTCTCGCACTCGTCAACACTTCGCCAATACACTTGGCACTCTATGATAGAGATATGCAACATTCTTCAAAAGAACGGCGTGGGTTTCGAAGCCAGAATCAAAGTACACGTGGATGTATACACCAGTTCAGTTTTTATATAAGACCTTCCAAGGTCTTCAAGAACTAAATTCCGCATTGTCTTCACCTTACGATGACGGCGCCCTTACAGTCTGGCCAGGAACACCAACCTGAGTTCATCGCAGCTAGTACCATTGTGAATACCAGCAAAGAAGCATGGAAAACTCACACGCGACGATGGAAGCTTCTTCTACTGCTATTACCAGGCTTCTATACCGCGAGTATGGATCTGACAATCGTCGCGACAGCTCAACCGTTCGTCGCGTCTCATTTCCGTCAGCACTCCTGCCAAGCCCTGCCAGTACGTATGCTCACCACCGAGTAGAAGCTTTGAACCAGATCAGCTGGATCGGTACAGCCTTCACGCTCACAGACACCGCGTTCGTCCCCTTGTTCGGCCAACTAGCAGATGTCTTCGGGCGGCACGCAGCTCTGCAATCTGCCGTTACTATCATGACCCTGGGCGCCGTCCTTTGCGCAAGTGCACAAGTTTGGCCAGTCTTGGTGCTAGGTCGAGCGCTCCAGGGCGTGGGGACGGCAGGCATGTCTACATGCTCCCTCATCATCCTGGCGGATAATGTGTCTCTGAAGGAGCAAGCGTTTAACACAAGTATCTTCCACTTCTTGATTGGCATCGCGTATGCGACAGGGCCTTTGGTATGACTCTCAGCAGCCGGATATATCGTTACTAACGAGGTCTGCAGATCGGAGGCTACATGACGAATGTGCATTGGCGATATGTCTTTGTGCTCTTGTCCGCATTGAGCGCAATAAGCATCATCACTATTGCGTTCCTGCGACCTGATCTGAAGAAGGGGAGGTACTCGGTGGCTCATCCGCAGTCGGGTCAGACTTCTCTTAGGTCTTTCCTCGATGGATGCGCGTGCATCGACCTGATCGGCGTGGGAACGTTCGTCGTTGGAGTGGCGCTGATTATCCTGGCGACCAGTTGGGGTGGCTCAGCTTATGCTTGGACATCACCAGCCGTTCTGATACCGCTTATCACCGGCCCGTTATTGCTGGTAGTGTTCGTGGTGTACCAACGATACATGGCGCCGGGCCGACATATCGCGCAACGGCTTCCGCGGATCATGCCCGTGGTGCCATACCAACTCTTTCACAAGAAGGATGTGACCCTAGTATGTATCATTTCCGCAGCAACAGGTGCAGCTCTCTACGCCTGCTTCTACTTCGCCGGTATCTACTTCACTCTTGTTGAGGGTTTCGACGCTGGTAAAGCTGGGCTCCAGCTGCTGTTCTACGTTCCCGGGATCGGTATCGGCGTATACACTGCCATTATCATGTGCAACGTACACCCTCGACAGACCATCTGGCCCTTATTGATCGGTACAATCGTAGAGACAGGTAGCATTGGAGCACTATCATGGGCTATACGTGCTCGCCAGAGGACCGCTGTCAACGTGCTCATGGGCGTCGCCGGGTTCGGTACTGGCATCCGCTTTATGCCAGAGAACCTGCACCTGACTGGAATGTACCGAGACAAGATCGCTGTCATTCTTGGCCTTTTGAGCTTCGCTGGTCCTTTCGGTGGAACCATAGCTTTGACGGTGATGGGCTCGGTCTTCCAGAACAAGATGTCGGCCCACTTCATCGGCAGCGAAGGGTCATCTAGATTCGACGTCAACTCACCCACCGCATTGAATGCTATCAGCGACCTTTCGTTGGAAGATCTGGAGCGCTTCCGATCTGCTGCCGCCAACGCTATCAGTTGGTCGTTCATCTCCATTTTGCCATTTCTAGCCCTCAGCATCCTCGCTGCGTTAATGCTAGGCAACGTCTGGATATGCAAGGACAAGAAAGCGATGAAGGCGACATCTCCCAGCGACCCGACAGTGAATACGGACGCAGCGCTGCAAGATCAGACGCAGAGTGTGCAGCGGAATGGAAGGCCGGAGGTGCTGACCGGAATCTACCTCTACGCTGCATTGAGAGGAACAGTAGCTTCACAGCGGCACTTGGGCCCGCTGGAGGTGCGGTTAGATCGTCACAAGGAGAAGAAAGACAGCAGGGAGAGTGCTTCGCTATGATGTCATGATAACATTCCGTTTATGGTTAGACCGAACCCACGGGCCAAATGCCCCTATCGTAACGAAGTGGCTGGAGTCCCAGCCATCCGCGTTCCCACTGCAGCGATCCCTCAAGCAACATGAAAATTGTCTATCGCATCATGCATCTGCCTCAAGACTGGCCACAGTTTTCTTCGTCCGCTTGAGTTGACTCATCTTCGTGATCAGCTCCCCGATTGCGGCCACGGTCCTACCGCGCATGATATCGAAAACCGCAATGTCCGCAGCAAACTCCTTGCCAATCCAGTTGCGCAGCTCGACTGCGACAAGTGAATCCACCCCGAAAGCGTGAAGGGGTTTATTGACGTCAATCTCCTCTGGAGGGATGGACAGTGCGCGGGCGAGCTTGCGCGCCAGCGCCTCGAGGACTACTGCTACTCGCTGCTCATCGTCCTCCGCAAGATTGAACAGCGTAGCGGCACTGACGCTACTCTGTGTGTTGGACTGGTTTGTGCCACGGGCTTGCGAGAAGGATGCGAAGAGTGGGCGCTGCAACACCTCAGCTGGTTCCAAATTGCGTTCGATCAGATCAACGGGAGTTACTAGACCCATGGCGATCTGACTCTTGTCTATTGTCATCGGCATCTTCGTATGTTCTGGGTCACAGTATATGGTCAACACCGCTAGGAACTCATCTTCTTCAATCTGACCGAGACTGCCGGACTTTTTGAAGTTCTCGTGTAAGCGTTCAGTCTCCGCGACGATGCCGATGGTGCGCATGACACCCAGGTCAATGGACGTTGCGCGCTGCTGGTGCTGGACTCGATGACGTGCGAGTGCGTCTTGGAAGGTGCAGCCTGCTGCATAGTTGGACTGACCGATGTTGCCTGCGACGCCTGCCACCGACGATAACATGATGAAGAAATCCAGATCTCGAGGAAGCACGGTGTGGAGATTCCATGAAGTGTGGGCTTTGGAACGGATAGTCCGAACCCACTGAGTGTGACTCATGTTGTCGAATGTCGCGTCCTACGAGACTTGGTAAGCGATTTCTCGAGCGTGAGCATTGGGAGACTTACATTCAGCATCATGGTGGCATTGATGCAACCTCGAATTGGCGGCATAG